ATCAGCAACAGTAGTAGTAACAGGGATTTTTCAGGGCAGTAAACATTTTACTATGTACTTTTATTTAGCTGATTATTATCATTAAATTACAGGTTCTAAGTTCTGTTTGTTAAAACCACAAGTGTCTTGCAGTACTGTTTTAGTAATAAATGGAAAGCGAATTACATTTGTCTCCTTCCCTTTTTTAGTGATCCGAAAAATGGTCTTATCTGTAACTAAAAAACCATAATGTGATCCAAACAGTGAGATTTGTGATCCGTTACTCCACTACTAAGAATGAACAATACTCGTGTCGCATACAGTATATTAATTAACTAACATTTACTAATGCAATGTTAAAATCTGAATTCATGCTTGTTAACGTTAGTTAATTTTTCATTAAATAAGGTTCATAAAGATGAATAACTACTGTAATAAATGTAAATAAATTACTAACATCAGCTAATGCAATGTTATTGTTTGTATTCTGGTTAATATGGTATTATCCGAATCTGATTTTGAATGCACAAATTTATGAACATCTCCAGCTTGAAAAAACAACAGCAACCTGCAATCACTCACTATCAGAGTATGAGTAATGACTGAGGCAGAAACAAACACAGGATTAAGGTGAGAAAAAATGTGTCACCGTTTCTGTTAGTGCAGTCAGTGAGCAAGATGTTGATGTAGCTCTAGCTGTGGGTCTGTGACCCGTTCTGAATGTTCAGTATGTTTAATGCTCACAGGAGGATTATCAGATCTCTTCAAAACTGGCAGCTGATGACATGTTCAACATGGACTTTATAACAGCTCACCAAGTGGACACAGATAAAGCAGGTGATCTAAAACTGAGACGACTGGAATTCTATTAAATATTTCCACTGACAGCACACGTCCAAAATGAACCCGCCACACCTGTCAGAAGGCCTGCCTTAGCTTCTACCGCACAAGGCTAATGACAGTGCTGCTGGATAAAAAAAATAAAAAATCACAACCTTTGTGCCATATGGAGAACTGGCTCCATGCATGTGTTTTAGCTTGAGACTGCATGCTGTGGAACTTAATGGCTCTCCAGACCCCAAAACATATGAGCAAAGCAGTGCAATCAAACAGAACGGGAGACCGTAGGGGTGGAGCAGGCCTGTAAAGTTAAGGAATGTCTTATGTTGACACTGGAGTTACTGTGTGTGCTGTGTGTGAGAGAGAGTGTGCGCATGCGTGTCTATTTCAAAGAAGGGGCTCCGAGCATTTTTATGATGGTAATAATGGGCTTAAATTGAGGTGTGTTACTTGAGAAGAATTCAGGACAGGACATACAAGTATATCAACAGACTAACTGTAGAGGCTATTTCATGTAGGCTCTCTGTCTCTCACTTCCACACGTTTTGTGTGTGTGTGTGTGTTCAGCAAAACAAAGAGGTGCATATCTTTAAACCCCTTCCCAATGACAACGTTTGTTTAACCACAAAGACTGCTTCACCTTCCTGGCTGGGGGGGAACTTTGTCTTCCTTTCAGTGATTTCACAATTGCCTCATTTCCTATTTTCTCCAAGAGATGTTTTGCTTAAATGTGAGTGACTTCGAGTAAATTAGGTCACCATTAGGTGCTGAATAAACAGCCCTGAACTCCTTTTTTAAAATGTAAAAGAGGGTTTGGAGCTGTTCATTGTGCAGGATTTAGTGCTGATCTGCCTCTTCTGAGAACAAACAGAGTTCAGTGTTAATACGCTCAGTGTCAAAAAACAATACATTAGACTAATTTTACTAAAACGGGCTGGAGAAGGAAAGAGAAACCTTCTTTTCCACAAGCTTATGTGGTGAAACCAAACACCACCACCGGGTTTCCTCCACCCCGTTCAGCCCTCCCCAGCCCCCTCTATAGCCCTGTAAAAGCCTTGTTATGGGAAAAAGCCATTCTGTGAGTTTTTTATGTTTGCAAAACATGGCAGAGGAAAAGAGAAGGGGGATCAAACATACGCCCAGAAACTAAAGTGGAGGTCATACTGAGTAATCAAAAGAGCGATATTTGCTGAGGGAAAAGTACAATCTGTATTTTAGCGAACATTTGATGATTCAAATAGGTTGAGATAAAGCCTGCTGCTCTCAATATTAACTCATATAAATATTAACTAGTATTAATACTAATCATTTAATAATATTGTTTTATTTAATAAGCATGCTTAATTGATTAATTAATTGATTAATTGAAGCATGAGACAATAACCATTTTCAAGGTTTAACACAGTTTGGAAAAGTCAAGGTTTTAAAACTGCCAAAATTTTCAGCTTTACCATTCCTAAGGTATGTGTAAGGCTTTTTAGTTTTTATGACAACAGTATCTCCAGCAGATAAGATCTCTAAAGATGCTGTTTTAAATTGTAAAGAAATCTGTGTTTTTGTAAGTAATGATGACAGCAGAAGTCAATGATTTATTTTAATTATTTAGCCTGACATGTTTCATACTCCAAAATATTATAAATGTTTCTCAAAATAAAATCTATTGGCTTCAAAGGAGAAAAAAGTTTTAGTTTTTACCAGACATTTTAAAAGAATGTATTTTAGAGCAGTAATCACAACACCGTGATACCATGATATTTTTATGCATGGTTATCATACCGTCAAAATTTTATACTGTAATGTTATACTGTAAAATAATGAATAACAGAATTTTAAACAATCTATTCAGATAATCCTTTATATCATGGTTTACACACACACAAAAAAAATATCAAGCAGCAATAGTGGTTTCTTGAGCAACAAATTATATTAAAATACATTTTAAAGTATGGTTTAACCATAAAGATTTGAGTAATGATCAGTTTTGCAATAGCCAAAATTATTTGGGTTTTTAAATCATATTAATATAAAAAATTTATATTTAAAAATTGTACTTACTTACTGATTAAAAACAACACAGTTTACTATTCTCATCTTGTTTTCAAACTCGGAAAAACCTCAGTAAAACATTCCTGCAATATTGCTAATAACACATATTGTGCAATGCAAAAAAATAAATAAAAAATTCAGCTATTTCAATGCATGTGCACACATTTATACACTACATAAATATAAAACTGCAATAAATATTTCAGTGTAAAACAATGTCGGTGTAAGATGTAATTCTCTAGACACATGCGCACGCGCTTAGATATATTTGCCTGGCTAGACTGTACTGAAGTATGCAGTTTGTTCCTATTTCGTAATGGCTTGGCTTCAAGCCGACCCATACGCAGCCTGAGAGGGATATCCCAGCATTATTGGGAGGGAGCCAGGTTGGAATGCCACCAGGTCTAGTTTCCTGCATTCCTGCCAAAACTCTACGCAACTACTTGCTTTTTTTCTCTCCCGTCGCTGTTTCTTTGACAATAAATGGCCATATGGCAACAGGTTTAACTTTGTCTCTTCCGACCCTTCCCTGTCTGGCTGGCTCTGTCCTATCTATTCTGTTTTCCTTTGATGAATGACTCATTTGTAATATCAGTGTAAATAGAAGAACTACACACATCCAGCGCAGGCTTGACTAAAAAAAGAAATGCACTGCAAGTTGCACAACAGCTTTTCATCATTAAGAGTCGTTTATTTATTTTGGCTTTAGTTTTGATTAAAGAATTTCAAACAGAAACAAAAATGAAACATAACGAGCTGGCTTATAAAGCTCTTTCAAAGCTAACCAGTAGTCTGTATTTAGCGTTTAATTACTTTCCTAAATACAGACACCAGGAATTTGGTCAAAAGGGAGTTTAATGTCTATTTTTACATTCCTCTAAACAGCCTTTCTTACTTCAAGAAGGCATTTATAGCATTTAGACATTTTTTTAAAGTGTTGAAAACAGGCAGTACACTGGCTCCAGTCAGTCTACCAAATGCCATCGGCATCCTTTCATTGTTTCTGCATTTCACTTGATTTGTCTAAATAGCTCAAGAGCGATTACAAAATGCATGTCCTAGACTTCTGCAAAACAACATTAATTGTGTTGCGTAACAATGTTCTCAGAGTTTCTTCTTTTTTTAACACAAACATTGTAGTTGACATTCATTTTTTTATGATAAAAATAAATACACTAATCCGTATCTTTTATCCTTTGTAAATCAAAACAAAAACTCTACAGCTGCACTATAAAGTATACCTTTGCATTGAATTTCCTCAATAGACTTTAAATGAATTATTTTTCTCAGTTTTCTTGACTTTCGCTCAAAGCAGCTGTTCTTATTCAAACTACATAGTTCACCTTACGTTAAGCCAGTGCTTACACTAATGCAGCCGCTAATGTGCATGTCTCATTTGGCCTCTGAATGATCTATCATAAATAAGGAATGACAAGTCCATCCAGGCTCATTCTGTATAGATCTGTGTTTGCTTAAGAGCCTCACTCTCAGTGTATCGCTCTAAATTATCCCTTGAGAAAACAGTGGAACTAAACTGCTGCAGCATAACTCTGAAGCATTCTTGCACATAAACCTGAATGTTCACAAACAGTTAGTAATCTGAAAGCATTTGTTCTCTGTGCACTCTTCAAAGCACATTTTAGACCTAAATCATAAAATTGCTATAATCATTTAGATATTTTAGGACATTTCTGAAATTATCAGTAAAGCAAAAATGTGATGTTTAGCTTGCAAGTTGCTGTTACAGGTTGTAAGTTACATTTTTTAATTAAAGTATAAGCAGCAATTAAACTTTTGCAATGCAGACTGCTAATATTGTGTGTTGATGTAATATAATGTAAATGCATAATGAAAGTGTCTGGACACTAAATATCATATTATGATAAAGCAATGATGTTCAGCGAAGGAAGAATTGAGCTGCTTCCATTTTTTCCCTAATGATGATGACTAAACGTGTAACATTAGTTCTGAAAGATGCTGTAACTTCAGCACAGAGTTTCTCATAGAACTGAACCCAATCTCACTTCATGCTTTTAAACTTCGCACATTAGTAATCACCAAACAGTTCACCAGGGTGCACATTCAATGGTTATGAGAGGACATTACTAAACTACAGGTCTCAGTGATGGACATACCTGTTTGAACTGTTCCTCATAAGTCCATTCGTGGTGCTGCGACTGCGCTTGTGGAGCCAAAGCACTCGGCGATTCCGCCTGTCTGGGAGCTGGATACGGAGGTTGGACTCTGGACAGATGTATCGGGGTACTTTTTGGACTCTGACCGGCACCTGGATAAACAGCGTGGCGAGGTGGGTAATGAGCAAGGGGTCCTTCCAAGTCTTCATCCCCTCCACCCTCGTTCATACTGTCATCTTCGTCCATGTCGCGCTCTTCATCGTCCATGCCGCGGTCCAGCTCCGGGTCGTCATCCTCATCATCTTCATCATCGATATCGGACTCGGCTCTGCGCTCAAGCGGGTGCCCGGAGCTCGAGTTCGGGACTCCCGCGGCGAACGCTCCCCTGACGGCTGCTTGGTAGTGGCGGAATGCCAGAGCTTGCTGTTGAATCTGTGACTCTACCATAGACCTGATGTCTTTCTCCTTTTCGGCTTGGCGGAGCTTCTCCTCCAGGGCGAGTCGAGCCGCCTGCTGCCGCTGCAGGTTCTCCATGACCGCCTCCAGCTTCATCCCGCCACCGCCGCCCGACTGACCGTGCGCGCCGGGGGAGCTGACCAGCAGAGGAAGGCTGCTCGCCGACGAGAACGCGGCTTGCTGTGGGCGACACAAAGCTAAAGTTACTATAGTTTTTGGCTGAATTATGGCGAGTTTTGAGGGAAGTGTGCGAATTATGAGACGTTATGGAGAGTCGGAGAGCATTTTTGAATAACGTTACCTTGACCCCCCCCCGCCAAAAACTGTGGGGGATGGGGGAGAAAAGTAGCTGTTACATATTGTTTTTCACATTAAATTACAGTGTCAATTGTCATAAAAATAGATGGCACTTTTACCAAGTAGGCTACAAAAGTTTTTAAGTTAGCCAGAACTCCTGTCATCCTAAAGCAGTAGGCTAAAAACTCAAGGTAAAGTTAGTTTGCTAGTATTGACGTTTCTCGCGCGATGTCTACCTCAGGCGGTAAAATAAGAATAAAAACTTTATATTTTAGGCTACTTTATTGTAGTTTAACATGTTAAACAGAAACAGAATATTTATCTATTGGTTTAAAAAAGAATTTTCGATAGGCCTAATTGTTGTTTAGCTAATGCTAATCTAGTGGCGCCAAATGACATTTTGAGAGAGCATCGACGTGCCTAGGCAGTACACACACACACACACACACACACACACAGACACAATTACATACATTTTATGGTTCAGCAATATTTTCTTTAAAATGTTTGCATAATATGTAATGCAAATCAAGTACTTGTGAAATCTTTAGTCGAGAATAGTCTTTATAATATTGTAATAGGCCTATTAATATTATAATAGTTTACTAACATATAGGCCTAAAAAACGCAGCTTATTTAAAGATTAAAAAGGAAAAACACAAGACTGAGTGTCAATAAAAATATTTCCATAACCTTAGCTGTCATAACTTTGTTTTCATCTATTCATTTGCCACTAACTTGCCGGTTTTGTTTACTTGATTTTATTTTATTTTTTGTTGCTTTTTTTATAACTTACAAATTAGTCGGGAAAATTGAGGTAATCTGCCAGCTCGGCGCCAATTTATTACATGTAATGCAGCAATTAAACATTGGTGAACTGTTAAAATATTGTTTCTAATATTAGCCTACACCGATTAAATAATAATTTAATCACAATTGACAGGATACATGAACTTTGCAGGTCTGTCTCCGGGCTAGAATAGTGATTTCTCAGGGAAAATGATTCCACAAAAAAGTTCAATTACACAAACTACCTGGCGGTCATCATCAATGAAGCTGTAAATAAATGAAAGCTAACATTTCAGAACCGACCTCAAATAATTCAGTGACAGAAATATGACAGTTGTGTGTGTGTATGCATGTATGTATGTAGCCTATATATATTCGCTGCGTTGCTACTGTAGCTGTAGGTCGAAGGGCAGCGTGTGCATTGTAGCCCAACACAGCATTCGCTTGGCTAAAACAGCAGATAAGTGCACTAAACAATGAAATACAGTACATAAACTAATGTAACACAATAAACATAACGTTCCCTCAGTTCTACCCAATGAGCAAAAGCTCGTGCTTACCAGTGCAGATTTAGTCGCTATGCTTGTGTTGTCAACCATGCTTCTCCCGTCAAATGCGACGAATGTGCTCAAAAGTGACCTTTTTCCCCAAACAAAGTCAGAAGTGGTTGTAGTCCAGTCTTAACATCTAGAAGTGTGCCGCGAACGCAAATAAATCGCTCTTTTCGAAAACGGTTTCGCGACGCGCTCGCGCTCTCGGAGCGATTTGGCAACAAGTGGCTGTAACTGTAGCGAGAATGACCTCTGAGGACTAGAGATCAGATCAGTCCCTCTGCCTCCATCTGCTCTCTACACGTCAATAGACATGGATATAAGGCAATCAGGGCAGGGTCTGCACTCAGCCAACAGAAATACAGCTGAGCCGCTTCCTGCGCGCGCTTCTCTTCAAACGCGCCGCTTTAAACTTTATTTCAAGCTCAACGTTTTGACAATGTTCTCGTTTTAACTTAGACCAAAAACTTAAGCGTAACAGTTCAAATTGTTTATATGTAGAAAGATATATGTCTGAGATTAATTTGAGCTTTTTGTGCGTAAAACGCAAATGATAAAGTATAGGCTATTGCCTACTGTATAGCCTATGCAAAATTTAATCCAATTAATAATCTGCCCCTCAAAACAAATGCATGCTTACATTTATAGACTACTTATTATATACGTGTTTCTGGACAAGACAGTTTCTATATAAATATGTGATGATATAGACTGTGGAAATGTAATTAATTAAGCTTTTTTCAGCATTTTTAACATTTATTATTAAAAGTATTTGAGTGAGCAATTCCATGCAAATGTCAACCTTGCCATGAAAAAATAGTTTCCACCAAAATAGCGAAATCTTTTCTATATTTTTGTGTAAAAAAAGTATTTTACAGGACTTTTAAAATACTCAAACATGTCTCTGTCAACGGGTTTAAACTATTATATTTGATTTACCAAAGTCACACAATTGGCAAATTCACATCCATAACGAAAAGATGTCACATCCATAATGAAGCTTTTTCCTCATAAATGCAAAAATGTCAAATAAAATAAAATCAATTATTTTTGTTCTGTAGAGGGTGAACTCTTATCCTTTTTAAAAAAAATTTTTTTTTGGGGGGGGGGGGGGGGGGGGTGGGATGGGGGGGGGGCTGTGCAGTTTAATTCACAGAATTTCTACAAAGTATGTTGTATAACTCACAAACTTTTTAGTCACATCCATAATGCATGTTTATTTCCCTCATTTAAAATACAAAAAAAAAAATGTTTAGAGATTGATATTTTTCTGATCCCTCAACTCTGTGGTGAATTGTTTAGGAAAATATAAACAGATGTCTCAATATAATGTAAACATAGACTTTCTCAGAGAATGTATGTTTTGAGTTTTTACTGCAAATGTCACATCCATAATGCTGGAATTACTCATGTTCTTCTGATCTGTTGCCATTTCTGTGCTTTTTTATTTGAGGAATTGTGTGAAACAGAATGATTAACAATTCACTGTAAGCAACAGCTCACTGAAAATAAAAGAACACCAGATTTAATTTTAAGATGTGCAATTTAGGCAACAAATTAAATTGTACTGTTTTATCATTAATGTTTGCTCATCATACTGAGTAAAAAAAATCTATCTTTTGAATTACACCAGCATCTACACAGACTTAAATAGTATGGATAAATATCACTATGAGTGTTGGTCTTCTGTAAATACACCCTTCTGACTGCAGAACGTATAATTGCCATTCACCCTGCAATTATCCAAGATTTGTAATTATATGAACCGATGAACAGACCTACAAATGAATTCCATATAATTTCAGAAAAGTACATTAGTCATTACCACAGTTCTTAAGGATTTAAACTATTATGTGGTGATGAAGCCAAAGGTGCATTCGTAGCATCTTCTTAATCATGGCTGGCAGACAGGCACAGATAGGCAGTTAGATGGATAGATGGATGGATTGATGGATGGATGGACGGACAGATAGACATAGACAGAAAGACAAATAAATAGATAGATAGATAGATAGATAGATAGATAGATAGATAGATAGATAGATAGATAGATAGATAGATAGATAGATAGATAGATAGATAGATAGATAGATAGATAGAATTTGACCATCATGCATTTGATGTCTGAATTAGCCAGCTAGCACTGAACTGCAGGTAATTTCTCCCATGACCCCTGCTCTCTTATTATGATGAAATAACCCATTATCTATTGACCTCAATAACTGCAAGAATTCTGTGTTGCTTTGTGCCCTCGAACTGTTGAGCAAAATTGATAATCATTCCACGGTTACAATCCATTCGAGTTAATGCAAGGCTAAGGTTTTCCACTGACACTGATTATACTAGAATGATGGTTAATATGTTTGACACAGTGAACTACGCACAGAGACATTTCTCAATGACAGGACTGAATTCACACAAATAACAATGTTTGAATATCTAATAGCGACAGTATTTTCAATTACACCTATGAATTAGTAGGTATGCTGGGACACATGGCATACATTTAGCATAATAATAATAAAACAAAAAAGAGTACGACGTAAAATAAAAAACATCCTAGTGGATTAAAATAGTCATGAACCAAAATGTTTCTTGTCAGTGGTCAGAGGAATGCGTTGTTTAACATCGCCACCTGCTGTCCATAATGTGTAAATACATTATTAAAACAGTATTCTGCGGATTGAGATTTTTTATAAGGCACACTCTTAAAAATAAAGGTTCTTTATTGGCATGATGGTTCCAATAAGAGCGTTTAACATCCACCAAACCTTTTAATTCCACAAAATGTTCTTCAGGTAATAAAAATTTCCTTGCCACTAAGAGCAAAAAAGTTCTTTAAAGATATTTTGAGCAAAAAGCTACTTTAGGTTATTTTATGGAATAGCTGTAAAAATGTTTGCTTTTCAAGAGTACAAGAGCAATTTTTATAATAATAAAAACAAGATATTGTACTGTTGTTTAACACCAATTATTCAACTTTCAAAACACGTTTCTTAAATATTTTTTCCACTTAACAAAAATTACCTTCACAAACAAATTCCAGGAAGAAACTATTGAAACATGTTGTAAAAATTTGTGTTAGTTCATGAGAGCTACAGCCTTTATACAGGGTGTACTAGGGCTGAGCGAATAATTGAAATTGAATTGCAAATCACAATTTAAAACGTTGCAATTAGCTAATAGCAAGAGGCTGCGATATGAAATATATGTGTATTAATACATTTCCCCTGCCCAGAGCAAATGCATGAATGCCATCTGTGTGTGATAATCTTACTAGCCAATTGTGTGAGCACAATTTAGTGATGAAAGTATTGAAAAATGAAAGTAATGCCAGTGACAATCTAGTAGCAAGTACAAAACAGCAAAGTACAATTTCAGAGTTGTTTCAGCCATGTAAGTTTGCTGAGTGTTCTGTATTTTTATAATTATTATTATTTGTGTTTGCATAATAAGCTACAATATCTTCCTAATTTGAGTTCATGTTTACAGAAAATTATGGACATTTTATTTGTGTTTACTGTTTGCTCTGGAGAAAAATGAGTGTTTATTTCTGAATATAAATTTGAATAAATGTTAAGTATCTTTTAAGTTCCTTTTTTAGTTAGCACTCACTGCCTTTTAGCAGTAAGAAGCTACGATACAGATTATTGAGCTAAAGCTTGACTACAAAACTAAATCACAAACCAAATCAAAATCACTTTATCAGTCAAAAAAATAAATAAATCGCATTTTAGATATTTTCCCCATATCGGATAGCCCTGGTGTACCTTTGTAAAGACTGCCAGTCTATCTCTTTCAATCTGTGTCTAATTCCATATGGAGTCTAACTATCTAAGGTGCTGTAAGAAATGAATGGCAAAATCTTTTAATAGGATAAATGTAGCCTTCCTTAATGCTAATCATAATAGTTATTCATTATAATAACAATTTTCATGATTGAGTTTCAGCTTTAAAAAGATGCTATAAAAATGACTCAGCATAAAATGTTCTGTCTGATTATTTTTCATGGCACTCACGTCCTTGGAAACACTTAGCTAATGAAAACACTGCAACTGAGCAACTGAGTTGATTCAATAACAAGTAATACATTGGGTTGCTTGATCACATAAAGCAAAATAGTATGAGCGAGAGAAAAGCAATAGCATCTCAACTGATTCAAAATGGCAAATGATTCGCTCACATTTATTATAAGCACACAATGATGTCTGTATTAAAAATGTAACTCAAAAGTGTTGTTTATTTTCATGTACTTTATTTTTGGCTAAAAATGTATGAACAATGTTTAAAAATTATTTATGAACAAATTCTACACAACCTGACCTTGGATTGGTTTTATCGAGAATCATTTGGCTAAAATCAAGCCTAAATGTGAAGTGCATTTTAAACTGATGACTAAATTACACTAAAAAAAAAATGACAACTACTTATTTAAATTAAGATAAAACAACAAAATTCGAGATTATTGTGAAGGGGTGGGAGGGGAGCATGTTTATGTTCAATTAACTTATATTTGTGAAAACTAATAAGTTAACTTAATTCCTTCAAGTAGTCCCAACACAAATCAATTATGTGGGGTTTAGCATTTTTATATTTTCTTTTATATTTTTAAATAACATTTTTTTTTCATTTTCATACTCTAAATAACTAAATAAAAAGATAATATTATATATTATAATATACAAAATATACAGTTGAAGTCAGAATTATTAGCCATCCTTAATTATATTTAGAGAAGTTTTATTTTATCTTTGCCATGATGACAGTAAATAATATTTGACTAGATATTTTTCAAGACACTTCTGTACAGCTTAAAGTGACATTTAAAGGCTTGACTAAGTTAATTAGGGTAACTAGGCAGGTTAAGGTAATTAGGCAAGTTATTGTATAACGATGGTTTGTTCTGTAGACCAGGGGTTCCCAAACTTTTCAGCCCGCGACCCCCAAAATAACAATGCCAGTGACTCGCGAACCCCAATATCCTCTGAGGTGGTTATAAATACAGAAACCTTGCATGCAATGGCGCAAGTTTTAAAAAAAACGTTTTT